CTCACTCTCAGCTCCTTGCGCCTCTTGCTCCCAGCTCCTCACACTCGCACCACAAACTGAAGTGAGCTCCTTTTAAAACCCATGTGCTCTGATTAGTCTGCCTTAATTGATTCTAGCAGCTTCTTCTTAATTGCTCCAGGTGTCCTAATTAGCCTGCCTTAACTGGTTCTAGCAGGTTCCTGATTACTCTAGTGCAGCCCCTTCTCTGGTCACTCAGGGAACAGAAAACTACTCATCCAGTGACCAGTGTATTTGCCCTCTACCAGACTCCTGTACCCCACTGGTCTGGGTCTGTCACAATATATATATTTATGTTCCATGTGGTGACACAGAAAATGTTTCTAAAATCTGGTTTGAATTTCCAGGAAGTTGGGGTCATTGGGGCTGCGCCTTCCCTATGAGAGGTTTGGGTTGCACTTGTCCTATGCAGGCAGAGCACGCCTCTCCTTCTGCAGTCAATAATAGCAGGGACTTTAATACTGGTACTATTGTCACAGTCTGTCGTGGCTTTTTTCCCCTTTGTTTCACACTGTTTTCTTGAGGCGGGGAGACATAGAGGGCTTTCATATGTGGGCGACACCATCCCACTTCCTAGGAACTAGTCCCTCAGATGCCATTGGTTTCTGGGGGCATGAACAACCATTATGAATATCTGGCTCTTCTACACTATGCGATCCACACATCCATAGTCATGGCTCATTCACCTTCACTACCTTTGGGGAACTTGGCCCTCATCTGCTGAGTTTGTCATTGGCCTTCACTTGTTACCCTGAGCAGAAGCCCTAATCAGGTACTACCAACCAGAGGCACGCATGGCCAGGAATGACCATACCCTGAAGTAGAGCAGCCTAAACTGCTGCTACCTACCACCCAAATCATAGAAGATTAAGGTTGGAAGAGACCTCAGGAGGTCATCTAATCCAACCCCCTGCTCAAAGCAGGACCAGCCCCAACTAAATCATCCCAGCCAGGGCTTTGTCAAGCGGGGCCTTAAAAACCTCTCAGGATGGAGATTCCACGACTTCCCTAGGTAACCCATTCCAGTGATTCACCACCCTCCTCATGAAATTGTTTTTCCTAATATCAAACCTAGACCTCCCCCACTGCAATTTGAGACCATTGCTCCTTGTTCTGCCCCACTGAGAAGAGCCTAGCTCCATCCTCTTTTGAACCCCCCTTCAAAACATGGAAGGATGCATACTAATCTAAATTACATGCTTAAAATCTTTGATTACTATATATTGGCCAATGTAAAAAACGTTTAATGTCTCAAACTAAAAGATTTTAAGTCTCATTAGCATGCCTACATATTATTTCAGTAAAGATAATTCATTTTATTACATTTGTTCTTTCTTCATATTCATTGGCAAATCATTATAAATGATACATAAATGGAAAGACTTCCTACCATGTCAAGAGAAAGATATCCTGATGAGCTGGGAACTTAGTTTCTTCTTCCTACTTTGTAAACTTCCCCCCAAGTTAAATGTGGTAAAATCTCATCAACATTTCCATCAAACAAAAGGAAATAAAGTTGAAAGTCTTCTGACATTCTGCCTTTTATTTCATTTTACTTTTGCTCACTCCCTCAGCACAAGTGAAATGATGAGTTTTCTCATTGTTGTAGGATATTTCAGTAGACCATAATGTTACATCCATTCTATCCTTTAACAAGAAGTGATATTGGATGGAACTGGAATCTGATTCAAGAAAAGTCAGGCGAGAGCTTGGCTTGTTCTCATCTCCAATGTTTTGGATTTAATTCTTCTCTGCCATCATCTCAAAAACATCTGCAACATGTCTTAGAATCTGGCTACATTTTGCAAAGGCAAAAAAGCATGGCATTTTGTGTGTTAGACTTGGATCTTGTGTGTTGTGTGACTATATATAACTAGCACTCTCTTGGCTTTTTTTTATGTT